TAACCATCCATCCAATGGCACTACAGCCCAAGCCGGGCCTTGGCCTCCTTCATTAGACCTCTCCAAACATCTCTATTTACTGCTGTTCTTTTCCATGAACGTGTTTTTAGGAGATTTTTGGCATCCTCATCTACCTCGTCTTCCCATCTCTTTTTTGGTCTTCCAACAGGTCTTTTTCCTTGCATTCTTGCGTTTAGTAATTTTCTGGGGATTCTGTTCTCATGCATGCGGGCCACATGCCCTGCCCATCGTAATCTCTGCAGTCTAGTGTATTGTGCTAGTGTTGGTTCAGTGTATTGTTCGTATATTTCGTTATTATATCTAATTCGCCAGTTGTTATTTTCCTTTATTGGACCCAGTATTCTACGCAATATTTTTCTTTCGAACACGTCTAATGCATTGGTAGATTTCTGTGTTATAACCCATGTTTCACACCCATAACTTACTATGGGTCGGATTATTGTTTTATATACCCGGAGTTTTGTTTTCCGGTGTACGTCTCGCGATTTGAATATGTGGCCCATCGCGAAATAGGCTTTGTTTGCCAGCATAAGCCTTCTATTTATTTCCGGTTCTTCTTCATTATTTTCGACCAGATCCATTCCTAAATACGTGAATCTATTCACGTATTCTATATCATCTATAAATTGTTGTTGTTGCGCCTGTCTATTTGATCTGGTTTGTATGAGTAGTTTTGTTTTATTTGTATTTATTGTTAGCCCTACAACTTCTGAACTCTGTTTCAACTGAACGTAGGTTTCTTCTGCTGCAGTCTTTGTTCTGCTCATTATGTTTATGTCATCTGCGTATGCTACTAAATTGGGTAGATTTGTTTGTAAGTATGTTATTTCTGCCCACCGTCAACCGTCTAATTACATATTCAAGAACAAGATTAAAAAGTGTTGGAGCCAGTCCGTCACCTTGTTTCAGTCCTTGCGTTGTCATAAACGCATCAGTGATCTGTCCTTGAATACATACATGTGCTTCTGTTTCTGTCATTGTCATTTGCACTAGTCTTATTAATTTCGATGGTATGCCAAATTCTTGTAATATATTAGGTAGTATTGTTCTATCTATTGAATCATAGGCTTGCTTAAAATCTACAAAGAGATTGTAGACGTCTATGTCATATTCCCATGCTTTGGCTAGTATTTGTTTAACTGTAAATAGTTGGTCAATAGTAGATCTATTTTGCCTGAACCCTGCTTGATATTCCCCGATAATTTTTTCAGTGAGGGGTTGAAGTCTTCGATTAAGAATGTTTGTGAGTATTTTGTATCCCGAACAAAGTAAAGAGATGCCTCTATAATTCTGGCATAACAGTTTGTCTCCTTTTTTATGAATAGGGCAGATTATACTTCTCTTCCATTGTTGTGGGATTTTTTCTTCTCTCCATATTTCTTGTATAAGCTGGTACATCTGTTCTGTCAAATTTGTTCCTCCCTGCTTGAACAGTTCTGCCGGTATCTTATCTATTCCCGGCGCTTTATGGCTTTTTTGCATTTGGATTGCTGTTCGAACCTCCTCTAGCGTTGGAGGTCTAGCCAATTCATTATCTTCTCTATCTTCCCACAGCTCCTGTTGTTGACCTTCCAGTTCTACCTGCTGCTGCCGCTGTTGTAGTGGTGTTTGTGCCCTTTCGTTTAATAATTCCTTAAAATACATCATCCAGGTTCTCTTAATTTCGTCCATATTGCTAATTATTTCCCCATTCTTATTTTTTGCATAGGCTAGTCTTCGGTTTGTAACCCTGTCTTAAATGTTTGATAAGTTGGTATGCACTGCGTGTTTCGTTTTCCTTGAACGCCCTCTCTATGTTTAGTATCCGGTTGTTTTCGTACCGTCTCTTTTTCTGTCTGCATAGTTTATCAGCTCTTCGTCTTTTATTCTCAAATTCTGTCCTTCTCTCTCTAGTTTCGTCTGAGTATGAAATTCTTATGTGCTTCATTTCTTTCGTGAATAGCTTGTTTGCATTCTTCATCGAACCACTGTTCTTCTCTCCGTTGAGTGTTTGTTCCAAGAACTTCTTGTGCCGCGTTTAGTATGATAGTGCTTATGGTGTTCCAATGATTTTCTATTGTGAATTCTTCTATGTTTTCTTCTAGTAATTTTTCACTCACTGTTCTCTCAAATCTTTCTTGTACCTCAGAGACTTTTAGGTTATCTAAGTTTAGTTTTTCTTGTTTCGGATATTTTTCCTTTGCTTGTCGACTGATTTTACATCTAAACCGTATCTGTACTAGTAGATGATCGGAGTCACAGCTTGCTCCACGCCTACTTTTTACATCTAATATACTTGTGGCCATTCTTCTTTCAACCAGTACGTGGTCTATTTGATTGACTGTGTTTCCGTCAGGTGATATCCAAGTGCCCTTATGTATGTCCCGATGTGGGAAGCAGGTCGAACTGATAACCATATTCTTTCCAGCTGCGAAGTCTATTAGAAACTGACCATTCTCATTTGTCTCTCTATGCAGACTATGTTTCCCTATTACCCCTATGTACTCTTCTTCTTTTCCGATTTTGGCGTTTGTGTCACCTATCACCATTTTAATGTCGTAGAAGATTAACCAATGAAGAAATTAAAGAAGTCATCGAGGGTGAAGACATAATCAAGTTCGTTAAGACGCAAAGGCTCAGGTGGCTGGGGCACACAGAAAGAGCTAACCCAGACTCTACGCTAAAGCGAATAACTGGATGGAGACCAACAACAAAGAGACCAAAGGGGAGGCCCAAAACAAGATGGAGAGATCAAGTCTTAGGAGACATAAAGAAGCTGAGAATCTACAATTGGAAGGAGCGCTGTAAGGATCGGAAAGAATGGAGGAAAATTGTAGACAGGGCCAAGTCACACACGCTGCTATAATAATAAAAAAAAAACAACAGCGGACTGATTCTCCGCAATAAATGAATCAGAGAGCCCAAAAGGGCGGCAAACACTCCGCCAGGAGTGAATAAGCCATGATGAATGAAATGAACTCAAGTCGGCCAAGAGACAATTTACAACTATCGGCGATCATAGCCTTCATGCGGTTAACAACCAAAATGGTTTACACTTGATTAATTCGGAATGGTGGTAGTAAGTAAATGTTTCTCCCACAAAAATAGCCATAAAGCCACGTCGCAATAACCAGATAGTACTCATTGATAGTTGGCACTTCCCTGACATATGAGACGTAAGAGGGAGTAGAGGTGCTAATATAGACTCTGATCACTACCTTGTAAGAGCAAAACCCAGAGCACATTATATTTAACGCTAAAATGGCCTCAGTACAATACAGATGAAGCCAAAAGAAACACCAGCAAACTGTAAATTGGGTATCCTGTGTCCACTTCACAAAAAGGGAGAGATGATGGTGTGCGATAATTATAGAGGCATCACTCTACTCAATATAGCATGTAAATTACTGACACTAATGTAGTGTACAAAAGGATGCTCCCCTACGCCAACCTTTACAGTGAGGTAGATTCTTGAAAAAAAGCCCTAGAGTTCGGCGTTGACACCCACCACATATTCGTGGATTACAAAGCTGCATAAAACTCAGTTAATAGATATAAACTTAGCCATGGTGAAATTCCAAATATCGTTTTATCTTGTTTAACTACCTGCACTTACATTTACAGGACCAGCGAGCATGGTCAGAATCCAGAAAGATTTTTCATGACCATTCCATTGCAAAAATGGACTAAAACCTACATGTCATTATTTAACCTTGCTCTGTACACTGTAATTCGAGAGTCCCACATTAATACAAATGGCCATATCTTCTACAAAATCTATTAAGAGTTAGAGCATGGAGAATACTTACAGAGATAGGGGCGAAGGGAGGATTATTATGAAGAAGGACTTGGCTCATGACAAGCTATCAAGTATTTTTGTGGATTAATAATAATAGGATGGCTAGTATTGTTTTAAAATGTTTTTTTAATATTATAAATGTTAACTAAAATTATCTGTTGTACTCGAAAATATTGATGTGCGTGAATTAATATCATGATCGTAATAAGATCTAACGTAAGATTTAGATAGACTTATGAGAATATATTTAACCCCTTAATGTATATAGTAGCAGAAATTACATTCTGTTTAAAATTGTGAATACAGGCATTCATATTTTACAAATAAAGATAATATCGCCTGCATTTAGTATTTTAGCATTTAATATTATTTATAATGTTTAGGACATATTGTATACGTAAAATTAAGCTTTTAAGTAAATACCATAGGATATTATAGATAACATAAATTATTCCATAAAACACTATGTTTTGTTATTTGAACCTATTTTTTACTATATTCTGTTATCACACCTACAATCTAAAAAGTATATAATTCTTTTTTTCAGGCTTAATTATGGTAGATGAGATATGTTATTGTATCTAAAATCTAAATCTAAATCTGTAATCTAAAAACGCTGTTTATTTTTAGACTTATTTTTTGTAAATGTGAATGGTTTTGGAAAAAATGAATGGATGCTGGAGATAAGAAGAAATTGGAAATGATGAGGTGGTCCTCCATTTTCATAAAATGAAAAGAGGAGCTACTTTACTGGTAAAGTTCCTGACATAAAAAAAACATGGCAGACTGGCTGAATAATAATGGGTCGGCAAAACAATGAACAATGATGTAACAAGGATGTTGACTGGCGATATTAGTAAAAATCACAAAGAAAAAATCTAAGTCATAATACATTCCAAAGATTTAAAAATTATTCAAGTAATGCTCGAATATAGCAGTCAAGAGTAGAAAGTGACCTCAACAGATTTCATTTATTTAAGAAAGTGAAGAATTCGCATGCTACAAAAAAAGTCAGAAAAAGCAGACAAAATGAGAATACTTCTTTACTCTTTATCTGGAAAACATTACACAATAATTTGAAACAATTTATTTTGTCATATCTTATACAACCAAATAAATTCTAAGAAAATGGCACAAATATTGGCAAATTTCCATATATTAGATTCATAATTTCAAATAAAATGTTACTAAGATCACCTACCTTGTTGCTGCTGCTGCTGTGGTTGTTGTGCTGGTTGTTGCTGCTGGGATGTCTGTCGATTATCACTGCTAGGTCCTCCACCACGACGCTGATTTTGTTGGGGTTGTCGGTAGTTGTTTGTACGGTATCCTCCTCGGTAGCCCATTCCTCTAAATCCACCTCGACCCCTGTAACTGATTATAATGCAAAATTATATAAAACATGCATAAATATGTATATGTAAATATATAATAAAGTACAAAATTCCATATAGGGTATTAAGGGATCAATATATTTTCTCATAATTACGATCTTGTCTGACTAATAAACTGTTTTTTTTTTCAAATATTGTTTTAATCAGACCCAAAAATAAAGGTTAAATTTCTTTTAAAATATTTAAAAAAAAATTAAATCCAACAAAACTATATATTAAGTATTTAATTGGAACTACAATTGAAGACAGGAGTGGATAAAGGTGCCAAAAAGTGTCACATTTTTTTTTAAATGACTTTTTGCAATAATAACAAATCTTAGATTTGTCTTAAAGAATTGTTTTGATAATAAAGGCGACATTTCACACATGTGAATATTTTTAGTAGATAAAGGTGTTAGTTATATGACACATGCCACATTTATTCACTAAGCAATCCACAAGGTTTTGTAGACAAGGAAGCTTTCATATTTTAAGGTTGTTTCTATGTTTAAAATTTTTATTGTTGTGCAGTGGTTAATGTAGTTATTCCGTATAAAAGGCGGTTTTAGTATAAATAATATAATAAGAAATCATAATGGAATGTAGAGATAAACGAATTCTAACTAGTGTTAAAAGAAAAGACGAGAAGTACTGTTCTTTTAATCATGGTAAGTTATTTTTTTGTTGCAAAAGATTGAGTTAATGCATATTAAGAAGTTTTTGTTTTTAGGAGTGGTTCCAAACTCATTTCAAGACATAATCGCAGACAGTGAAACACATACAAATAATGAAATACCATTCCCAACTGAAGAGATGTTTCAAAATTAAAAAGATGCTCTTTGAGATATTACTCAACCATTGAGTTCCAATGAGCTATAAAAGTGAACAAGTAATAAAATAAGTTAAGTACCTATTTGACATTGTTATTTCGTATCTGTTTTTCTCACGCGACCATAACATACTATATATAAAAGTCTTTAAATAACAAGAATAATAAGGAAACGCCTTTTTTTCGCAGTTTAAATTTCTTTGTCACATCTGAAAATAACCATTTTGTTTTCAGATCTTGAAGAGAATAACAGTGGTGAAGATGTGACATACGGTAGTGAATTTTGCTTCTAGTGATGACATTGATTTGTTACATAGATATCAGCATATCGCTCACAACCAAAATATTCAGAAGGTGAGATGTAAACTGTTTTCTGACAATATTAAGGCAGATATTCAGGAAAAGTCACTAATAGTAGAAACCAATGAAAAAAAAAAATGAAACTAGTCAAACAGAAAGAGAACATCTTGACTTTTCTTCAAATCGTTTTGAAGATGGAAATTTTTTTAACTTCCTTTATTTATTGTAATCTGTTGTCAATATAACAGTAAACAATATGTTTGAAAGACAGAGAAAGTGACACAGCGGGAGCTATATTCAGTGGTGATCACACAGTAGTTTATAGTAGCCTCGTATTTCCTTGAGATTGTGCAAAAATATATGTATCTGTAATAAAATCATTCAATAAAAAAGAACTCTACCAGGAGTCTGTAAAATTATCAATGACTCAGACGTATAATAATACAAAGTTTTAAGATTCCACTCGATATTAACATTCAGATGTGCCTAGTATAATCTTTTAAAATATGAACAGTCAACCAATTATGTTGATATCGCTGTTATGACAAATCATAATGCATTATCTTTTGTAGGTAGACTTATTCATACTTGGGGTAAGATTATATCAGTATTTGACTGAGTCATAAAATAAGGTATCAGGTTTCGACCGTCCAGTGTCGAAGGCACGGGACGGGGAACATTTAGGTAGGCATTTTTATATTTTATTTTTAAATTGCGGATATGACCAACAGATTTTTGGGAGACTAGAATATTTTTAGTATAATCATAACTGCTACAGCGTTCAGTTAAATTCAAATTTCAAATAGTGAACCGCAAGTTAATTTGGTAGTACCTTTTTTCAGTGTTCTTTCTAAGGAAAACTTTTTATATTTTACGTTTTTTACTTTTTTTGATACGTTTTTACGTGATTACGTTTTTATACGTTTGATAATTTTAAAATATTGCGTCCGTGGTGCGATAATAATTATGTAGCTGAAGAGACAATGGAACCCTCTAATCGATTGGAAGATTTACAAAGGCGTGTAGTAAAACGTAAGCGACATTTTCAATACCTTTCTGATGATGCCAAACATATGCTAAAAAATGTTTATGAAGGACTGTGTGCTGAATTGTCTAAATCAGAGGCACATGCAGAAACATATTTTTTAACCAAAGTGCCCAAAGCAACCTGCTACAAAATTATAGAAGGAACATTTTCTAGACACAAGAGAAAGGATTGTGGCAAATTCAGAAAAATAGAACCACACTTAATTGAATCTATAACTATATAGAACAATATACCAAATGTATGCGGCTATATTTTTCCAACTATTGAAAGCTTTTAAAGTGAATTAGTTCGAAAGGGCATTCTCTCATGTTCAGCAAAACACTTCGATTATTTCTTAAAGCCAATAATTTTAAGTACAAAACTATAGACAAGAGACAGACATTGATGGAAAGTACTAGAATAATTTCTTTAAGAAACAATTATATCAGACTGAGTATCGAAAAATGAAACGAAATATTGTTTATTTAGATGAGATCTGGTATGATACTCATGCCACCGTGAAAAAAGTTGGACAAATAATAACAAAATGTGTTTCAACTCAGAACAGCCCAATAAAGGAAAGAGGATTATAATTTTACACTGCGGTGGAGAAAATGGATGGGTCGATGATGCATTATTAATATCTGCAAAACAAATTAAAAACGGATTATCTCTCTGGATATCATGACGATATGAAAAAGTTAAATTTTTTAATCATGGTTTGAAAAATCTCTTCTTCCGAAATTACCTAAAGATAGTGTAATGTCATGGACAACGCATCATATCATTCAAGATTAATGAAAAAAACTGCAAATAATAGTTGGAATATATTACAAATTCAGCAATTTTTATTCACGTAAGATTTGTATTTTGAGGCATCTTATATTAAAAAGCAATTGTTGGAGGTTGCTCATAGTAAACAGTACGAAAAGGAATATGTTGTTGACAATTGTGCTCGTAGTAACGGGCATACTGTGCTTAGCTTTTCTCCTTATTATTGTACATTGAACCCAATAGAGTTAATATGGGCTCAACTTAAAGGAATATAAGGAGAAGAAACGCTGCTACAAAATTTTCGTCTACTGTTTTCCAGTTAATTACAAGAGAAGTCACAAAAATAACAGTAACCAACTGGAAAAATGTAATAAAACATGTGATGGGAGTGGAAAATAACTATGTTAAATATTTACCAGCATTAACCAAATTAACTATAAATTTAGGTGATACGAGTGATACTGGTGATAACAGTGACTCTGAGTAGATAGTAAGTACTTATTAGGTGTTAGTTGAAACCTTTATTTTTATTTTAATTGTAGATATTCTCATTTTGCTTATATATCTTTGAAAACAGGGTATAAACACACTTCTTGGCAGGACAAAAATTATTAACGTTTTAGAGGAGTATGTCAACTAAAACTGTCACTGTCACAGTGGCAGTTGCTAAACTTGTCCGATACGTCTTAAAGGTGAGAAACCATAAGTAGAATATAAATTTATAAGTTTTTATCGCTCAATCTCCCACGTCCATTAGTTTATTTTTTTTTATCTCATAACATGTGTTTTTCATCTTGCGTTAATCAGCCCGTTATTAGCGAGCTCATCACGGTATAGTTAAATATAAATGTATATTAAAACTTTTTAAAATACGTTCACCGATAATAGCCATTTCCTATTTATTACAATGACAGTAGTAGGTACTTTATACTTCTAATTTTTCAGAAATTAATGTAACTTGAACTATTTCTTGTTGTGTTTCTTACAATAAATAATTAAGAGAGCATGGCTAATAATAAGCAACCAATTATTCAACCGAGTACTACAAGTATTGATAAACAAAATTTATTTTTGTAAATTGTAATTTTAATCTTGAGTAGTTGATAATTATATATATTTTTTCTAATTAAAACAAAAAAAAGTTGTAGAAAAGGTCACTCTGGGCAAACTTCATCATTGTGAGTAATAGCCATCATTACATGCTTGTTGAATAACTACTATTATTAACAATGTTTTATATAGATATTATTATTTTACAATAAGTTCTGTTCAGTCGAGTAGATTAGTGTTATTACTCCCAAGATATATCACAGAAGTTAACAACATCGATATTTTTTATTTAAACTTTATAGAAAATGAAACTTTTTGGTAAATAAAAGTAGAAACTTTTATTTAATTTAAAATTAGATAGCTACTCTACTGTTGAATCAAGTAGTACTAACTCTAACAGCGTTGCCATTTTACTAGTATTTTACTTGCTCTGGTTCCTATAAATTTTTTCACGAAGTTATGTGCCAACTATACATGCCAGAGGATCCAACCTTTTTAGTCTTCTAAGTAGTGGTGGCGTCTGGAGGTCCTTGGCGAGTGGATTTGGATGAGATGATAGACTCAAAGTAGTTTTTAGATTGAGTGAAGGTTACTTTTTAAACAGTTTCAACATAAGATAGGGAAGATCAGTTAGAACCTTTTCACACTAATAACTCCAAATATGCGATTTTGTTAGTTGGAACCCTGTCATTTTAACCTAACGATACATTTTACATTTTTGTTCGATCATGAAGTGTATTTGTATTCTATTTTCAAAGGTATATAAGCAAAACGAGAATATCTACAACTACAATAAAAATAAAGGTTTTAACTAACACCTAGTTGGAAATAAGAACTTACTAATCTACTCAGAATCACTGTTATCACTAGTATCACTTGTATTTTCTAAATTTATAATTAATTTGGTTATTGCTGGTAAATATTTAACATAGTCATTTTCCACTGCGATTACATTTTTGCAGTTGGTTGCTGTGATCTTTGTGACTTCTCTTCTAATTAACTGGAGAGCATTAACTGGAGAGAATTGCATTGCAATTTTGCAGTTAATATCTACTCCTGGTAGAGTACTTTTATTTTAATTTTTATTGCCTGCTTTTATTACATATATTATTGGTTTAGGCTGTTTGGAAACGATGAGCTTTTAACAACTTTTAACAATTATGCAGTTAAGTCCTTTCTACCAGCAGAGGATGTGACAGTTCAAAGATTCCCATTTCTTTATTAGCGCTACCAAGCAATCTACTGACATTGACTATGTTTCAGTTGTGAAACTGCATAAATATGATTTAGGAATGATTTTACAGTCAAACATTTGAAGCCAAAAAAAGCTAATAAAAAATCATTTTTGTTACTCACCTTCCTCTTCTTGCAGCTGCTACTCCAAATGTCTCGGAGTTCAATTTACGTTCCACACGCCAGTCAGTCCTCTGAGATTTTCCTTTAGCTCGTTCTACTGCTTCACATGAAATCTTATCAAAGAAGGATTTACTCTTGTCGTAATATACTTCATGTTCCTCCTCTTGTTCAGTCTCTCCAGCACCTGTTTCATTTCCAGAATCATCTTTTTTGTCCACATCTCCATTCACATCACTCTTGGTACTTACACTTGCACTTGCAACTTCATCAATTTTTAACTATGGACAAAAAAATATTTTCAGTCAAAACATTTCACAAAAAAAATGTCTAAACTTACTTTCCCCAGCTGACTTCTAAGTTCCTCAAATTCAGTATTGGCCTGCTCAAAATCATAATCATTGTCAAATTTCAAGGTATTTCTTGATCTATTTCCACCAGCACCAATGTTGTTTCTGTAGCCTGGGCCCCTTGCTCGGCCTCTCATCCTCATTGGACCCCTATTGTTCACCCAATTACCTCTGGGGTGCTGTTGATAGTGCTGTTGGTATCCTTGATTGTGTTGGTTTGAATATCCACCTTGATGATGTTGGTAACTGTATTGGGCATTATTCTGTTGAGATCGACCAATGGGCTGTCTGTTTTGCTGTTGGTTGTCATTTCTCTCTCTAGAATCTCTCCTTTCCCTTGACCTCCGTCTCTGTTGGTTTCTTTGATTGGGAGGTTGAATTGGCTGCACAACTCTCTTCTCGTTGTGGCCTGACCCTCCCGCTTGAACTCCCTGATCATTAGTTGGTGATTTTCTCGAACTGAGGCTGGCAGGGGTGGTACTTCTTGAGCCACCAATAAGATCTAAAACAGAAGCTAAAACACTGAGACTTCTAGAATAGTACTTTAGCGGATAAAAGCAAAAAGCATGAGTGATTAACAATTACATCAATTAATTGGGAATGCAAGATGATTAGGATGTGATATGCAAATTAGAAAAAATTTAAATAACCAATAATTTGATTAGAAAGAGAACAAAAATATGCTGCAGAGAAAGTTATGAAATGCAGAGGACATGTTAAGAATTTATTAATTTGTACTTATTACTTTAGTAAAAAAAATGCGAGCTTCATATAAAAGCGGATTAAATCAAAAATTACTTGTGATAACAAAAAGAAATTTTTTATCATTTCTAGCAACATTATCAGAGAAATAGAGGTGTAACATGATGCCTTGAAATCTCCTCCATCTACAATAGCCTTAATTAACTGGGTAGTACAACTGATGTGAAAATTTTGGATGGTTGATGTTGTACATGTTGGTGTAGATATAGTTGCAAAAATGGTGCCAAAAATTCTCACAAAAAACTTCTTAAAAAAATTTTTGTATTATACAAATTTCTACCATTTATGATTTCACCTAAGGTGACACCTGAAAAGATTCTCTAATATACTGTATCATTGTAACAAAAACTAAGGTTACTACAAAAAAACAAATAACTCATCAACAAATGTGTACAAAAATATAATTATTTTAAAGACTTTATCATACCTAGAAACAACAACTACAATGATTTAAAAAATCTGAATGATAATAGTGACCTCATTGTAAATGGTCCAGAGAATACAAATTTTAAATCACAATAAAGAATGAATTTTAACTGTAGTAAAAAATATAACAGTATGTATTCCAAATCCAAAGCAATTATTTATCTTAATTCTGCATTTTAAATTGTTACGAATTGATTCACACTAGAAAATTAAGGTCTGAGACTCTTGAAGTGTGCCTGCATTAAATGTCCAAATTCTAAATAGTTATATCTGTCTTAAAAAAGATGATTCCAAGACAAATTCATGAAGATTTGGTGGATACCTTAGGGAATCTGTACTAATTATCATGAAAAGGTAATGCCTTGAGTTTAAATGTGGTAGACAGTTGTGTACAGATGAACATGCAGATGCGGCACCCACAGTTGATATAAATAAAAATATTGAAAAGATCTTGTGCTGCAAGTCTGACCATCAGACAATGTCTGATGGTATGTCATATAAAGGAAGCAAGTAGTATGTTGCTTGACAGAAAAATTCCAATGAAGATGAAGGGACAATTCTATAAAACAGCCATAAGACCAGCTATGAGGTACGGAACTGAATTTTGAGCAGTTAAAAAGGAAGAGGAACAATGAATGCATGTGGTGGAAATGAGAATGCTTAGAGTTGGATGAGTTGAGTGACAAAAAATGATAAAATTATAAACGAGTATATTGGGGGAAGCCTAGGGGTGAATTGTTGCCAAGATGAGAGATAATGAAGAATTGCTGATCTGCGGGTTCCTGAAAGTAGTAGGAGAGGAAGACCAAAACAGACCTGAGCGGAGATGCTTAGACAGGACATGTCAGTAAAGGGTATTAGTGTTGATATGGCCCAAGATAGACACTTATGGAGAAATGTAATTAGGGAAGCTGACCCCTCATAGATGACTTGAGGAATCTAGGGTTCAGAAATTGGAGCCAGGGCAAAATTGGGGGGAATGGAGACTAATTCTTGAACAGGCCAAGAGCCACCCAGGGCTGTACAGCCAAAGATGATGATGATGACCCCTCATAGGGATAAAAGCAAAGAGAATGATGACTAGTGTGTCATATGATGCAGTAAAATTATAAAAATTGTCTGCAAATTCGATAACACAGATGCAGAGAAGCAAGCTCAGAAGACATTTGTAGTCATATTTTACTATGGTATAGACCAGACAAAGAAATTCTTGTAGGATTAGTAACAATGGATCAGTTCTTTATCCACCTCTTCATGGGGAGACCAAAACACAGAGTAATGAGTGGGCATTTCCACCACCCAAAAACATGACACTTAGCAAAGGTCATGTTACCAATTTTTGGCAATTCCTTGCAAATTATGACCACAATTATATTTGCCTATATTATGAAAATTTTATTCAAAAATTAGGTGACACCATATAAGAAAAACATAGGGCGTCACAGGTCTGCCATTGTACAGCCATAATCACTCAAGCAGGCTTTAAATTAGATGGGGATCCATCATATTCTTCAGATTTTTTCCAAAACTTAATGAACACTTGCCTGATAATCTATTTTTCAGATAATGTCATAAGTGAATCAGTGGTTTGCAGTAAACAAAGATGGGAAAATGAGTTAATTTGAATGGATGTTATGTGAAGTAATAAAAACCACATGTTTGTCTATTTTTTACTGGAATGAGTAAAAATTTGACAATACTTGGGTCAAGGGTAGAGCAAAGGGATTAACCTATATATGAGAGTTTTTTAACTTCATAGTTGTATGTAAGTATGAGCTTAAAATATTATTTCAATTATGGATGCTGTTAAAAACAAAATGTATCTAAGTCTAGTACTAAAAAACATGCAAATTTTTATATGAAAATTTAAAAAGATAAGTCTTATTAACATCTCTATTAACACTTAAGTTTTTCTACAATAAAGGTCTCTGAATTATATACAAAATTTTGTAGATGTAACAAAATCAATAACGTAGTTATTGTTGGAAAATATTCTTCTGGTGACACCTGAGTTTTTATCAAATATCCCATGACAAATAAAGATTTCTTAGAATTTTCAGAACTGAAAACCAAAATGTAAAAGGAAGAATTTATAATTATAACATTCTCAATAAACTGTATAATAAGTACATATGACAACTCTAAGATATACTTGTCAATAGATATACTTGTATCACAGAATTAAGAATATCATAAGAAAACAAAAGAGATTAACTTAGATAAAATGAAAAAAGGATAGGCTAAAACACAATCATGAGGATAATTTATCACATGATATCACCTAGAATATGAAGAGGAACAATATGTTAAAATAATCAAATAAAAAATTGTATATAGGTTAAGAATTGTAACATATGGCTACATATGAGTAAATAGAGGATACAAAAATCTCCTAAGTCAATCTTTATTAAAAGGGTCCTGAAAGTGTATCCTTGTGCATTATTTAAGTTAATATCATTTGATATGGGTGTAAACCACAATTGATTCTAATGAGAATTACATTTTACATTTGTTTTGACATAGCAAACTAGCTCTAATGTACTTTATCTTTCTCATTTTATCTTTATCATTTTAATAGCTGGCACCCTAATTTGCGACCATTTTTTCTCAGGTAACCTTATATATCTCTTTCCAATGGCGGTACAGCCCAAATCGAGTCTTGGCCTCCTCCAAACTATGCCTCAAATCTTACCGGTTTAGCGCCAGTCTTCTCCAGGTTCTCACATATAGCAACCTTAATCCTCATATTAAAAAAAAATAAACTAAATTGGTCTTGAAAAATTAATTACTATTAATTGAATTACAACTGTCTAAAGTCACTTTTTCACTGGCAATCTGTTATCAATATATTCTCCTATTCTTAACTGTATGTAAAAAAGTGAGTTTGATTAACCACATTATGTATGTAGTGATCTTGCAGTTTTATCTCATACTATTTGAGTAAATTCTGAGTGGTATTATACCCTCAGATGAATATCAAATCCTGATGATTTTGTGCATATTATAGTTAATTATAGATGATGTATGTATGACCTGCTATTAATTCAGTATTCACATAATATTCTTATTGTTACCTTCTTTCAGTAATGGTGTCCAAATCTTATTAAAGTTAATATTTTTATTACACTTATCTATATAGTATTATTTTCGTGGAGGGTTCAAAGATGACGATGATAAATTTCTCAATGATATAGTACATGTGGGAAATTTTTATGAGAAAATAAAGTTGTTAGTAATAAAATACTGTTATTTGTGATATAGTACCAACTCTACAAATGTATTATAGCTAATAGGTGTGTGTTTATGATTAGATATTTCAGATATTTTAATAATGATGGCGATCAGGTGAAAAACTAGATTTCCAGGAACATAGAAAATTACACTACTACAAATATACCAAATCTACTTTGTTTCAAGTGTTTTTAAAAGTGATGGAATGATAAAATGAAGAATTATTACTCTACCTGATATAAATGCAAACCAAACTAAGCAAAGCAACAGGCATCAAGCTAAGAATAAAAAAAACTTTACCATGATTATTAGGCTGAATAGGTTGAATACCAGTGGGGGAAAGAACTGGGGGTTTCACAGTATTGGACTGGGGACTAGTTCCCAATATTAACTCACTTGGCTTTGAATTGTTCAAACCCCTGTTGTCTCTCTGCATGCCCAATGATGTTCCAATAGCTCCAGTGCCTATTGCTCCAATGGTACCAATGCCACCATATGCACCAGGAAACTGACCCATTTGAGGACCCATTGCACCCAAAACTGGATGAGTCTGATGGAAGGTTTGACCTCCCAGTGATGGTGGAACTGAAAGCTGCATAATAGCAGGGTCATTGAGTGGTTGTGGATGGGACACATTGTTCGTGACTCTGATGTCCTTGATGTCAGTACCCCTGAACAGTATATAATCATATACTTGGTTTTGGGCAGGGACTGGATATTGAGCATCACGATCTTCAGTTCCAAATGAGCGAACTAAAAAAATAAGTTCATAAACATAAAAACATAAAATAACAATATATTCTATACTATACTACAATATTCAAAGTAAATATAAAATAAACAACTAGAAGGTTCAGGTAAATTTCAGATAAAACAGCAGAGTATTTTATATTTTAGAAGCAGGTGATTTTTAGATAAAAATAAAAATTTAGTCTCCTCTCCTTTTATGTTTCATTTAAACTGAGTATCATTCTATTATAAGGAATCCATATTAACCACTCATCAGATCAAAAAACATTCAGATCTTCAAAGATTTAAAGTGTTTTCTTTTAAAATTGGTCAAATTTATATGTAAAGAGGAATGAATCTTCAACAAGTTGTTCATTATTTGACAAAATGTTCTGTATTTTTATTACTGCCAAAAATTCATTGAAAATATTAATATACTTTTAAAACAAGCAATGTTTGTTTTTCTAGTAAAATAATATCCTTTAGACATAGACATTAACTGTAATTAAGGAAAGTCCAAAAGTAAGATTTTTTATTTAATTTATTTAGCTATATAATAACAAATAAAACTAAAAAATAAACGAAGTTCACGTAACCTTCTAACTCAGGTCTAGGGTTAGGGTTTTCAGAGAGCACCAGTGCCCCTAGCATGATAACCAGTTACATAGTGGGACTGGCAGTATTATGTACCTTCTACAGCACTGTTGCAACTGGTATGCCAGTACCATAGCTACTAAGCTACAGGCTACAACAATAAAACATACAAAAAGGGAAGGGATTCTTTACCTTATGCTAACCTGAGTAATATTTTGCAAAACTATATGGCTCTAATTTCCCAAAGTGTATACATAAAATATTTAAACTTTTTATAGCTCGAGGCAAATTGTTGAATACATTGATGCAGTTATATAAAGCATCATGTTCCCTTACAGTTAGACCATGGATAGGGTATAAAAGTTCAAACTTCCTGTTATTGTATACATTTTGAGATTTTTATGCTGAGTAGAAATTTCTATATTTAAATATAAAGGTCAAACAACATTACTCTTAATACTTTCTTCTGTATTAAAAATACCCTGTCCCTCCAGGTTTGGGCCTAGAAGTGACGATATTGTGTGAATATTAAAAAAAATAAGCATTTTTTAACAAATTTTTTCTCGGAATAATTTTTTTTTCAAAACTGTGTTCACTGTATCTTAACAACTACATGATCAATCCTTTTCAAATTTTGCAAACTTCGTTTAAGTATAGATAAATTACTAGGTCGCAACATCGAGATATTGTCCATTTTGTTGTTATAATTAATTTTGCAACATCAAATTAGTTAAATTTTAACAAAAAAGTTTGTCTTTTTTACTTCTAAAGTTTGAAAAAACGAAAAAATTAGCAATATCTCAATGTTGAGAACTAGGGAAACTCATAAGCTCACGAAATCTTTTTGGTTTTTTGGCAACAGGTGATCCAGTTATAAGTTATGATGAACACTGAAAATCCTAAAAATATGTTTCAAATATATATTTTAAAATTATATATATATGTATGTATATATATATATATATATATATATATATATATATATATATATATATATATATATATACATATATATTAAAATATTGAAAAAAAACCCAACCCCCCACCCTTAATGTATCCCACTGCATGTTTACTTCCCTTTGGCCTATTTTCTTTATTAACTTCCAATTTACCCTCAACCTATCTAAAAAATCATCAATGATTTCCTCCCTATAATGTATGTTTACTTTATTCCAAAAACAAACATGTTTTTCAAAATAAAATGTAATTGCACATAGAATTTATCATAAGATTATAAAGATAACAATGAACACACCTACATCTAAGTAGAAAAAAGATATATTAAAATGAAAAACTCTAATTCTGATCCTAAAAATATATATATATTACTGTTTCCTAGAAGTAGATTACATCACTTATATTTTTTATCTTACATTATACTCTTCTAGTGTGAAACAGTCCTCTACAGTTGGGCATTAACAAAAATTAGATATCAAAAATTTAATATGGTTAATTGAGATATCTCCGTATTTTAGACTATTTATGATAAAATATACAAACACAGCTGTCTTTTTTGTCTCTGTTCTAATGATACTATTCAAGTATAGATCATCATTATGTTTTCTAACATCAATGTCATCGCAGTGTTTAATCTTGCTAGATTATGGCAGTCCTCTTCTACCTGCACTTTCAGAATAATTTAGACAAAATAAACCTGGCCATAGGGAAATTTATCATAAATATGATGAAATATGATGATAAATATATATGAAGGGATAAATAATTTGGACATTTATTTTTGCATAGTAAAGAGATGTTTTTAGTCATTAAAATTTTTCATAAATTGTAACGTTTCATTAAATTATGTAATATCTTTGACAATTTCGATTTTTCTTTGAATTTGACATCATAAAGCATCTTCTTCTTCACATGACATCTCCGCGACGGAGGTTGGCAATCATCATGGCTATTCTGATCTTAGATGCTGCTGCTCTGAATAATTCAATTGATGTGCATCTGTACCATTCCCTCAAGTTATGCAACCATGAGATTCTTCTTCTTCCTACACTTCTCTTGCCCTGGATTTTCCCTTGTATAATCAAATCAAGTAGGTTATATCTCTCATTACCCATAAAATGCCCCAGGTATTGCAGCTTTCGTGTCTTGATGGTTTCCAATACTTCCATTCTTTTGTTGATTCTTCTCATGACTTCGTTGTTTGTCACATGCCATAAAGCATGATCCAATTTAAAGGAGTAAAAAAATAAAGTTATGACATTTTTCTTATTTTCTTTGTCTAGGTGCAAGTTTAGCATAATTCATAAATATGGTGAAACTGCTAGTAATGATGTTTGAGCAAAAGCTCAGGCCCTCCGAAAGCTGTTTCTCAAAGGCGTGTAAAGCATTTAATTTGAATATGTAAGTTGGGAAGAAGAAATACACTACAAGAAGTAACCATTAGAAGGAATAGAGAAATGGGTAACCATTAGAAGGAATAGAGAAATGGGATAAATGTTTTTAGAGAATCATGTTGCAAATATATCCATAAAAGCAGTCTTAGTTTTTTTATTTGTTCCAATATTTAGTTGTCAGCATTTTTGGCTATCAAACAATTAAATAGTAATCAACATAAAATACATAATTAAACTGTAAAAATAATTCCATATATCATAAAAAATTTTGTTAATTTCATATTTACAATTAAAAAAAAATTAAAATAAAAGAATTTGAGTAAATTCGTGTTTTATTTGCAAAATAACTGCTTGTTCCAACATACAGTTGTTAAGGCTTGTAGTGCTATGAATGAATGTAGACTTCCAATAAATACAGTTTAATATTAGTTTAAACTACCCTGGAGCAAACTACTTAAAATGAAACTTGACATACTAGCCTTATTAATTACTTTACTAAAAGGGCTATATCAACTGAAGTAGGACATAATCATTTATCCTCATATAAATTATGAATATTATAAATAAATATTTTGGGCATTTCGCAATTGCGGGCACTCTAACCTAACCAAGCATTTATATGACATTTAAGGTTCGCTTAAATGGTGTCAGAGTTGCCAAGTCTCCAGTTTTTTCATACTCTCACATAATATTATACAAATGTTGATTAAAGTGATATATAAAAAATTAATAGTATAGATTTTAGTTAAATTAAAGATAATAATCAAATGCATATACAATAAAATTGATTAAAATTATATAAAAAATTAATAGTAATAATTAAATTACCGTATATAATAGAAATGCATTGAAATTATATAAAAATTCAAAGATTTTACAAAATATTTGTTTTATAAGAAACAAACTTTTTTTATACAAGAAATTTGTTTTAAAAACAAAGAAAATATTTGTTTTATACTTATTTAAATCTTGTAGCTTCTCATAATACAAATTATAATTTCGTAAAAGTAACTTATATTTTAAACCTTCATATACATTTTACAAAAAAATACGGCAAGTTTTATACTTATTTAAAATTTGTAGCTTCTCATAACACAAATTATTATTTCGTAAAAGTAAATTTATATTTGTAGCATTCATATACATATTTTACTAAAATAAATACGGCAACACTGTGACGCAGTGCCTTGAGGAAAATATATTTGGTTAGGTTAGAGTGCCGGCAATTGCGAAATGCCCAATATTTTTTATAATACATAATAGCCATAGTAACAGTCTTTTTCAAGAACAGATATTTAACTTTTCTTAGTACAAGTATCTGTACAAAAATATCCAATAAGAACTACTTTTTAATTAAATAATTCCATAAAGGTTCACCTTTCAATAAAGTTTTATAGCAATGCAATATGAATAATATAAATTTATTCTGCCTGATTTCCAATTTATGTAAGAGTCTGTAAAATATTATATTTTACAAAGTTCTACAAAGAGAGTATGATTAAAAATAGTCTCTAATCATAATGGTTGAAAAATAATAATTAATATTAGAATCTTAAAAATATCATGGAATTGGAATTAAATTTAGCCATTTAGTATTCAAAAAGAAGCAATAAATAAAAAAAGTTTTAACACTTTTTATCTGTCTAAAAATGTACTGCTTGTAAAAAATGAACAATTAACAGCCTGCTATAATTAATGAGTACCAATAAAAATAGTAAATCTGCACAAAAACTAATTTTCTGTAAATGTAACAATTTTAACAATAATAAATTGTTAACTGTCAGTAACATATAAGTAAAATAAAAATTACTATTTTAAAGCCCATATTCCAAACTCACTGATAAGATTATGTGGAAAAAAAGAGTTAAAAAAAAACAAAAATAACATCAAAATAAAGAATCGTTGATAATTATTTTTTTTACAATTAAAAAGCAATGACCTTTAAATAACTGAATTTTCTAAATTTAACAGAGGACAGGAGTATCAGAATGTCTGAAAGAAAAATAATATACAATATAATAGTAAATTCAAAATTATTTTAATTTACTGTGATCCATAAAATACAATGGAAATTTTGGATATGCATTAACAATGATGCACCCTGGTTAAAAACCATTAAATCGAGTGAAATTCTAATGTTTTATAATTTTATCAACTGATTTTGCAGTGTTTTTCTATAAAAATTAGATCCTTATCTATTACTATGACTTTTTAGCTTTTATAATGATAAAAAATTGGAAGTATGTTGATTTTACAATTAATATGGGTATTTTGAAAGTTTGTAATAAGCAGAGAATTAATTATGTGCAAACTAATATCTAAAGATGTATACGTAATTTCCTTTTACTTACCGGACGCCAAAGCTATTGTGCACTCTGTAGGATCAACTGTAAATAAACGACCTTCATAGCGAATATCAGCCTTCGATATTAGACTTATTTTTGAGCCCAGCTCGGGCATTCCAGTCGTCATCTTGTATAAAACTTTTTTATGCAAGGATGGCGAAGATACAAGTAGCTTTCTGCCAGAAGCAAATATTAATGAATGACATTTACTATTCTTCCACAACGGCGACTGAAAGATGGCGGACAAACAGCTGACAAAACCAGTCAGTCGAATTTTCACGAGTAGCGTTGTCAAAAAATTGTTGGTGTATAAAATAACGTCAAAACGTCATATTTTATAAGATTCAAATTTATATTTAAATGGAGATCGAAATTTTTTAAAATATTAAATAAAACAGTATAACTAAATTTAAAAATCTAGCTTTAGTAAGCTAGTTTTGTTTATCTTAAAATATTGACATTTTAAGTTTTATATCTAAATGTTTGCATTGAATGTTATTTCTTTGTAGTGAAGGCCCCGTTTATCTGACCTATAGCATGTCGAGGGAGACATTCTGAGATCTTAAATGGTTTTGATATATAGGTATGTACGTTAAACAAATGGAAACATCTAATAAGATAAAAAAAATAAATGTTCATTAGTTATCTGTTAGAGCTCTAAATTGTTCGTGCACTCTACCTCCAATCTATACTTTAAATTCTCTTTTGTCTTGCAATTTTTAACTTTTTGAACGTTTGTACTTACAATGTTGTTAGAAAGCTTTTTTTGTACTATTTTAATATAATTTACTGTCTTGAAAGCGAATTAAGTACCTAACTACAATTTTTTATTGAAAATACGTTTATTTTGACGTTTCGATTTCCACTTTGGAAATCGTTCTCAAAATACAAATTAATTTACCTATAATGTAAACTATGCAATATTAGCAAGGAATGTAATTATCCTGACTTACTGCACAGATGACCATCGTCGTTTTGATTTATTCTGATGAGAAATATCTTCACCTCACTATATACCTTATCCAAAACCTTAATTTGGCAAAGGCTATCCAGTTCATCACCATCAGTGGTACCTACTATAATACAGCCTTATAGTTAAGTCATTCATGTTCATTGTCAATTTACCGGGTCAATCTTCCTCATAACCTACACTATCCTTTCTTCTCTATAGGTCTGGCCATACTTCTATTTTTCACAGGTATTAGGTCTAGGAGGATATTTTTCATTTATGTACCGTTGACATACATCCCTGTGATCAAAATTACACAAAGCTGGTCATCTTCTATATTTGTTAATTTACCCAAGAAATCCATCCCTACAAAATGTGATGATTATGAAATGATGTCCTCTGAGTCACTTATTGAAAACATTTTTGAAAATTATCCACAACAGATTATATAAAAAAAATTCAAGGGCCGCTTACTTGAATGTAGGATTTTTGCAATCTAAGATTTATTTCAAATATGTAGAGACGTAAACTGCGATATACCTATAGGGGAGAGTAACCCAAACTCAAACTGATCCTTGCGGACAAAACGGTCCTTTACATTATTTTTAGAACTGTTAATGCCATCTGTATTTTTAGTGGGGTACTCATCAGCAAACGCACGTCTACAGTCAGTGAACCTCTAGCGTAGAAACATCGTATTTCCCGAATTTCGTTTAAACAGTGATTCTATTATAAGTTTAATATCAGGCGAGTCCCTTGAAACTATTGTAATGTTACTTTTAAACAAGCAGGAATGTTTAACTGTGATATAATTATAAGGCCAATATTTTGCCGATAATTTGAGATGCATGTTTACGAAATACCAAACTTTGGCCGCTACGTAATAGTTGGTTAGAAAAGTGTGCTCGTTCGGAAAAATGATCCCCCTTGGTGTTGAATTAAATGATCCCGGACAGGCAAAAATTGGACGAAAATAAAATTCGGCAAGCTATAGAAAGTGTGCAAAATGCCATTACATACAAAACTGCTGCAAGAAATTTTCAGGTGCCGTTGATGAGTTTGAGTGACGTTGTAAGGAGAAAGACAAGCTAGCCACGGATCATTTGAAGAGACTTGGAAGCAAAATTAGCACATTCACCGAGGAGCAAGAACAACAGCTATATTCTCGTAAAGGAAAGCCGAATGTATGGCCATACCACCAAAGACGTAAGGTCTATGACGTACCAACTCGCAATTAGGAATGCCATTGACATAGATTTTTGAACCAAACAAAACTTGCTGGTAAAGACTGGTTTAAAGGGTCTTCGTACGAGGCACCCTCTACTTTCACTGATATCTCCTGAAGCAACCTCGATCGCCCGCAGCTGTGTTTTTAACAGAACTGTTGTAACAAAATTTTTTACTTTGCTTAAGACCATATTGGATAAAACATCATTCCCCTCACTCAGGATATATAATGTAGACTAGATGTCTGTGAGTATAGTACCAGGAAAAAACTGTAAGATTCTTGCGAATAGAGGTCGGTAGAGTAGTCTCTAAACAGGTGTATCTACTACCGCAGTCATTTGTATGTCTTTTTTAGTCTTTTATTAGGGAGGGGGCGGTCCAAGTATTCGAAATATGCCTCGGTCCTAGAAGGTGGGCAGAACCGCCTTCCAGCCTCGGTTATGCAGGATTCCTCCAGCGTGATCATGATGATATCCTAGACCGCGCGCAGGGGTTTTTCGGACACTATCGCCGTCAACAAACCTACCTGCTAAAAAAACACCCTCCTCAGCGGTGGATTACCGGCCAGATCGCCCTGATTGGGATGCAAAATCGGCACGGCATTCACCCGATCTCTCATTCACGCACAATTTTCACGTACTCTAGCACTTTCTCACTACGACTGAATTCTTCTCCCCCTCTGTTCCTCCCTCTTCATGTTAAATCTCGCCCCTTCTCATTCTACCTTATCTTCTTGCTTGCCCCTGGTCACCCTGTCTCCCTTCGGGTCGCCTTTCTTCTTGTTCCTTTCTCTCCAGCGTTCTCCTTACATATCTCTGAACGGCTCTCCACCGATCTGACGACCTAAGCATCTCCTCCACCAGTTCCGTGACTGATTGCACCCTACTCCCTAGCTCTCTCTCTCAAGCAGGCTCCTGTCATTTATCCATCTATTGCATACCAGTAGATTATGTGAGACAGTGTCTGATATTTCACAGTAAGTACAGGCATTTGTCATTTTCTGCCTTTGTAAAGGTATGCTTTGAAGCAACCATGTCCTGTAAGTATCTGCGTCAGGAATTAATTCAAACGCCGGGGCCCGCAATCCATCCATCTTCTCCGATTAGGAATCAACGACTTCATCCACTGCGCCACTCTTCTTATCTGGTCCTATTCCTCTTGCCACATCATTCTCTCGTCTATTCTTCCTCTTTTCTTCACTAGCACGTGCATCGGAATACACCCGGTGATACCTCCCAACGCATCGGCAGAGACGATCCTGTATGCACACTTCACCCTCACTGGACTCTTCCTATCTGCTCGGGTGAGCTGCTTTCTGTACGCCTTTGTTAAAACTGCAGTACTCTAGACAGGCACAGCGTAGAAGACAACAGAATGAAGAGCCCTCCTCCTTTCACTTTTGGGTCCTCCGATGTTAAGCATAAGTCTCCCAAAGGGGCGGATCTCACCGCAATTCTTTGAGTCACCATCTTTACGTGCTTCCCCCACTTTCCGTTTTGACTCAGAGTCACCCCTAAATACCTCACCCATTTCTTTGGAACGACTCTCTTTCCTGCACATTCGAATGTTATCCCATCCATTTTCCTTGGTACCTTGAGAACTATAGCCTCGGTGCTACACGCAGCCAGTTCTAGCTCATGTATTTTCATCCATTCTTCGACTTAGTCGCATGTACGCTGTGCACCAAAGATAAGTTCTTCCCTGTCCCGCGCCACTACCAGCATAGCGAGGTCGTCTACAAATGCGAAAGGGGTTACACCCTCCGTATTGTTGGCTCATATGCCAAGTTCCACAGCGTGGGTCCTAGAACCGACCCGTGCAGCACTCCAGCCGTCACGTCAATCACCACTCCTTTTTCTACCACAATTTCCTCTCTTACAGAAAGTCGAAGACCAAATTCATGAAGTACCTCGGACACCTTCTCTCTCGTAGAGCCTTCAATACCCCTTTCCATTTTAATGTGTTGAAATTAACCCCCACCCCGCACAACTCTCGGAAGACTTCTATCAGCGTATCTACCGTCCTCCTGTCCTTTCTGAAACCGCAATGGCTGGGTGATAACCCGCCTGACACTTCAATCACTGTTTCTATTCACCATCTTAGAAGCCTCTCGTATAATTTACCTATTCACGACAAAAGGCAAACAGGTCGACATTTATGAATATTTCTTTGAGAAAGAACTCCTGTTGCCGACCAGAATGTAGCTTCCGCTATTTTTAAATAATTTTAAACGATTTGTCCTTGTTTAGTGTAGTGTTTATATTCAATTGTATGTTTAATTTTAAGTCTATGACACTCTGCAATTATTGGATAGCCCAAAATTTGACAAAATGCCCCTGAAGATCTCTAGGAAGCGAAAGTACTTGGACAAGATTTAATTAATAAAACAGTGCTCGATATCTGCCTTTCATTTTATCAAAGTTAAAATATTTCCGCTTCTCCTCTCTATAAGCTCTTATCTTTTGAAGATATTCTCTTTGCCACATCAGAATTTCGTCTCTATCTAGTGAAAGAGCGTTTCTTCACCTACCTTTATATTGAAAATTAAGGTTTTTCAATATTCGGTAAAACGTGGTTTTCGAGAAATTTGGCAAATCAGGGTCATCGTTCACCTTCTTTAAAACCTTATCAACGGTGGGTATTTCGTTGCTCATAAATAAATTATGACCCAGTCTTCTAATGAAATTTTTGTCAAAATCATCAATTTTGTCAAACTTCTTTTCCGAGTCAGATATACTTTTGGTCCAGCGAATTGACACACTATTTTTATTGACACATTCCAGATTTAGCCATACGGCTCACACTCCCTCTAAGGGGAAATTCACTCATCCCAGATACCTACGGTATCAAAAGGATTGAGCTCTGGTGGGACTCTTTCCATGTTATCGAGTCCTAGGTGACTTGGTACGTCGGTGTATCTCCTAAAAATTTTCGCACGCATCTAGACGTCG